TTAAGATTTACACTCTTTCCTACCATCCCACACTGCCTGTCACAGAACAGCACAGGGGAGTGAGGCTCTACACATAGCATGCCTAGGTTGGGATTTAGATTACATTACTTGCTAGCTGTGTGACCATGTGCAAAGTATCTAGTTTCTGTGTCTTAGTGTCTTTATCTGTAAAAGAGGAATGGTAATAGCTTTTAATTCTTAGGATTAACTGAGGTAATCTGAGCAAAACCCTTAGTTTAGAGGCTGGTACACAATAAACACTCAATATTAACCATTATTATTATTCTATCCTTTTATTCAGATGTCTGTCAGTGCATCTATCTCTCCATCTTTCCATGGATCCTTCTCTTTATGGTGGTTCTGATTATTCTCTGTTGCCCCACCCCTGTCCATTCTCCACTCTTCTCTGCCCTGCTCTGTTCTCTGGAAGGGTGACCTCTACAGACAGTATTACTCAGGATCCCTTATCCTTTAGCTTCTGTTTGGGCTTGGCCATGGGAGGCAGCAGCAGGAGATAAGTGGTAGGAGAGAGAGGTTGGGGTATTAATTCTCCAAATCCTTCATCTTGCTATAGTTCTGACAGTGAATAATTTACTCTGTGGCAGTTGTTCTTAAAGAGTGGTCTTCGGGGGCTTCCCTGGTGGTGCAGTGGTTAAGAATCCGCCTGCCAATGCAGGGGACACGGGTTCGAGCCCTTTTCCGGCAAGATCCCACACGCTGTGGAGCAACTAAGGCCATGCGCCACAACTACTGAGCCCGTGCTCTAGAGCCCACGAGCCGCAACTACTGAGCCCACGTGCCACAACTACTGAAGCCCACGCACCTAGAGCCTGTGCTCCGCAACAAGAGAAGCCACCGCAATGAGAAGCCCACGTGCTGCAACGAAGAGTAGCCCCCGCACACTGCAACTAGAGAAAAGCCCGCGCGCAGCAACGAAGACCCAACGCAGCCAAAAAAAATAATAATAAAAATAATAAAAAAAAAAAGAGTGGTCTTCGGACAGCAGCATCAGCATCACCTGGGAGCTTGTTAGAAATGTAAATACTCCAGACCTACTGGAGCAATCCGTATTTTAACACACCCTTGATGACTCCGATACGTGCTGAAGTTTGAGAACCACTGATCTACAGTTAGATTCTTTTGGGCTGCCTCCTCTCCATGGGTTTATCTCTGAGGCTCCCGAAACACTGTTCCTTCCTCTGGCCCCTTCAGGCCTTGGTATGGTAATTGTTTCCCACTATTGCGGAACCCTGAGTGTCTCACTCTTCCATGTTGGTTCCTTAATCTTGACCCCCACCTCTTAAATAGCCCCTTTATTAAAATCTTTGTGGTTAGACTTTTTTTGAGTGTGCCATCTGTTTCCTGCCAGGATCCTAACTGATACAGTAAATGGTACCAGAAGACATCCCAGGAAATAGATTTCGAAAATGGGATCCTGGGATTGCGTTGCTCATATATTTGCTGAGTGCACAAACCTCCTTGCATGGGGAAAGAGGACTCGAGTAATCCAGAACATGAAGAAGCATCACCATCTCTTAAGACTATCACTAAGTGAGGTGCAGTGTGGGATGCTGATGGAGGGAAAGACATTAGGAGGTAAAATGCCTCAGGTACTTAATTGCTATGGCCGCAAATGGTGATTTCAAATGGTCATTACATATATGGTTGGGTGGGCTGCCTGTTTCTGATTGTGCTGGCACAATTACATAAGAAAAAGAAAAGTTTAAGAACATGAAATTCTATAACTGATTCACTTTGTTATAAAGCAGAAACTAACACACCATTGTAAAGCAATTATACTCCAATAAATATGTAAAAAAACAAACAAACCAGTAAAGGTTAAAAAAAAAAAAGAACATGAAATTCTAATTCAAGTTATGGGTAGAGATTCAGACAACTTCTATGGAATTTTTTAAAATTGAAGTAGAGTTGATTTACAATGTTGTGTTTCTGGTGTACGGCAAAGTGATTCAGTTACATATATATCTATATATCTATTCTTTTTCAGATTCTTTTCCATTATAGGTTATTACAAGGTATTGAATGTAGTTCCCTGTGCTCTACAGCAGGTCCTTGTTGTTTATTTATTCTATACATAGTAGTGTGTATCTGTTAATCCCAAGCTCCTAATTATTTATCCCCCTTCTCTATGGAATTCTTAAGTCATCTTTAATTTATGTGATCCATAGCCACATGGCAGATATGGCTATGGATCAAGCCCCAAAACTGATTGTATGTGTGGTAGAGTTGCAACACCGGATAAATGCACAGCCCCACCATATTCCTAATACTAGAATCAGCGCACTCCTGGGAAGGAGAAGGACTCTGAGACTTGGAATGGGGACATTTAGGCAGAGATGAACAAAGCTGAGAATTTTGGACCTTTAAATTCCCTTAAACCTTCCTTGCTGGTAGAAGAACATCCCTCCCCCTGCAAACCATGAATGATCCAGCCTTCCCATCCAGTAAAAAATGTTTTTAATAACTCCCTGGCAAAAGGCATGCAGGGGTCCTCTTCAGGACCCACCCTCACCACCCTTCATAGCCTCCAGGCCCATAGTGCGAGTTTGATTCTAACATAGCCTGGATGGGAATGTACAAGATATGCTCCAAGAACAATAGCATGTACACTGAAGGAGTTGCAAGAACTTGTCAACTCTATTGGGAGAATCTCGGGGACCAGTGTGGACAAATTTATTGATATGTATGCCCTTATCCAGGATTTGGGTATTACTGTATTAGCTGAGCACCTGGGAATGGTGTTAATAATCTGTTGAGTTGGTTACTGGAAGCCTGGACTCAACAGTGGCCTATGATCAATGAGGTTGGGGTGCTAGAACCTCACTGGCATATTGTAGAACAGTCTTCCTCAGAATTTGAGGTGCATATGATTCACTGGGGGGGTCTTATTAAACTGCAGATTCTGATTAAGTAAGTCTGGGTGAAGTCCAAGATGTGTTTCTAACAAACTTCTAAGTGGCTGATGCTGTGCTGGTCCTCAGAATATACCTTGAGTAGCAAAACAGAGGAAAGAGT